GATTTTGAGTCTGTTGATGTTTTTTTTTTTGGTTGGATTGTAGTTCTGTGCCCGCTGTATTCCTACTATCAGAAGCATCCCGTGAATTATATACTCCTTGGGGTGTTCACCGTGTCGCTTGCATTTGCTGTGGGGTTGACTTGTTCGTACACCAGTGGTGAGCATTTGCTAATCCTTTTTAAGTTTCATTGCATATAATTGCTAGTTCAGTTCTAATGTGTTTGTTATTGGGCAAAAAGGGTTCGTAGGGTTAAGCATGTGTCTTTCTCAAAGCTTAGTATAGTATCATCTTGGAATCATGTATGTTAATGTTACTTCAAGTTCATGAGATCGTCTTTCAATCCGTATGGTAATATTAGTGGTGGGCTTCGTGCATAAATCCAGCTATGAAGGTGCAGTATAGTATGTTTTGTGATTTTGACTTAAATCGTGATACAAGCTATTTGATGCGAATACGAGTGGTATTAAGTAGAATGTAATGACTAGAAGTTGCTGGCCCTTTACCAAAGGTGAGGTGTATTATTCATACAGCTTGTTTCATCAGCTGATTACTTAGTTGTCGAATATTTTCGAGAGTTCTTATGGGTTTCTTTTTTTTTTTATGATAAATGAAATAAAGTGACTGTAATAAGAAGTAGAAAGCAGTGAACGATAAAGTAATCGATGGATTTTTCCATCCCTGACATCTAATGTATATATGACACATTTCCTTTTATGGTTGAATCTGACTTCTTAAAACGTTCTTATGATTTTAATACAGGGAAAGTTATTCTTGAGGCAGTTATCTTAACTGCTGTTGTTGTAGTCAGTCTCACTTTATACACATTTTGGGCTGCCAAGAGAGGTCACGATTTCAATTTCTTGGGGCCTTTCCTGTTTGGAGCTATTATCGTACTCATGCTGTTTGCAGTGATTCAGGTTTGTCAATTTCAGTTTGAACATATTTTCGTAATGTTGACATGACTCTAAAATTTAGCCAAGATAGATCAATATACGTTGAGCCAGAGATGAAATGTTCCATAAATAAATTAAATAAATAGAACCATTTGAATTATTAATATCCCCTTCACATTTGCTTCTCTTTAATATGATCAATTTGATGATCCTGTTATATTCAGTTAGGTTGGTAGATAAGACAAGACCAATTTGGTCTGTATTTTATATTTCAAAAATGAAGTAAAAAATGAAGTTTCTTTAATTAGGCGGGAACCCACTGGTGATGGTTCTTGCGGTTATACCACATATGTTTTATCTATTGAATGCTGATTCAAACAAATCAAATTGCAGATATTTTTCCCATTGGGTAAGATAAGCTCGATGATCTATGGTTGCCTTGCGTCCATCATATTCTGCGGGTACATCATTTACGACACTGATAATCTTATCAAGCGTTATACGTACGATGAGTATATCTGGGCTGCTGTTGCCTTGTATTTAGACATCATCAATTTGTTTTTGGCATTGTTGGAAATATTCAGAGCTGCTGATTCGTAGAATGTGCAGTAATAATGTGCGACATGTTGTTACTTATTACTCGTTATTCTTGATATAAATGTGTCAGTTCTGGGATTTGGAAAAGGGTTGAAAAATGTGGAAGGATAATTTTTAGTTGTAAGTTGTGCTGAATTTTGTGATGCTATGGATTAATAAATGGCAATGTTTATATTTATTCTGAATATTGATTTGGTGTTGTATAGTATCTGCCGAAAAGTTCTATTATAGAGATGATTGGGGATTCCCATAAGATTGTTCTAGAACTTTCCAATAATAGAACCCAAGGACCACTCAACCTCAAGCCTCCTGTACTCTCCACTACCAAAATAATAAGTATGGACAAAAGTGTAAACAAAACCAGCAAAACTACATAAAACCAGCACCCATAAATACAATAAAATATTGGCAGTGGTTCCAATTCCAACTGCCAATTACCAACTTGTCTAATATAATAATACAGAAAACTCTAGAACTTTCCTGGACACATCAATTTCTCATTTACAACAACAATAAATATAAATCAAATCCACTCACCTCTGTTTTATCCAAACCTATCATCATGTTCTTTAAACACCATCCCAAAACAAAGACTTCTTACTTAGCTTCTCCTCTTTTTTGCTCACATTCTTGCAAGAATGCACATTAGTTTGCCTTTGTAGCTACCAAAGAAAGCCTGAATCTTTTTTTTTTCTTCTTCTTTTTCCAATTTTATCGAAATTCGCGTAATGAATCCCGGTTTTCTGATTAAAGAGGAGTGCTCGTCGGACAGCGACCAGCTGGCGGCACCACCGAGGCCGATGGAAGGGCTGAACGAGGTGGGCCCGCCGCCTTTTTTATCGAAGACTTTCGAGATGGTGGATGATTTTAGGACAGGGCAGATTGTCTCTTGGAGCAATGGAGGAAATAGCTTTGTGGTTTGGGATCTTCATGCTTTTGCTAGCAATATATTGCCCACATACTTCAAGCACCACAATTTCTCCAGCTTTGTTAGGCAGCTCAATACCTATGTAAGTGTGTTCTGTTTTTTTTTTCTTTATTTTGTGGAAATCTTGATGTGTGATTAGTGATTATTCATCCCTTAATTCCAATACTTTTCATGTTTATATATATATATATATATATATATTATATTTTGTGAATTAGAGATGTGAGATAAGTTGAGACTTGAGAGTAAAATTGTGGGTGAATTAGAGATTTTGTGAATTAAGAAATTTTTGTCTTTCTAAATGCAGAATGATAAAAAAAATAGTAAATTGTAATTTCTTTTTCTTGATATTTTGCTTTGTTCTGTTTGTCTGGTGGTGCCTACTGAATAACAAAACTAAAATTCATCGATTGAGACAGCACGATTTTAATATATTTTCTTCTTAAAAGGTTTCACCTGAATGTGGAAGATTCATCTGAAGATATTACTGAACTCAAGCTAGCTCTCTGCAAGATGAGATCATTGAAGCCCATTGAGTACAAATTTAGTTTAAAAAAAACTTTATGGTATATATTCATTTCATATAACACTAACCAAGTTACTAAAAAGAAAAATTTCGCGTTTGATGCAGGGATTCAAGAAGATAGACTCCGAAAAATGGGAATTCGCAAACGAATATTTCATCAAGGATCAAAAGCATCTACTAAAGAACATAAGAAGAAGAAGGAAAAATCCCTCTAATGCCCCATTTTCTCACCAACAATCCACTACAAATAATCCATGTGTCGAAATTGGTACTTTCGGACAAGATATTGAAATCGACCGATTAAAACGAGACAAAGAAGTCCTCACGATGGAGCTCGTCAAGCTCAGGCAACAACAGCAAGAAACACGATCTCACTTGCATCGAGTGGAGCTAAATTTGCGAAAGACTGAGCTGAAACAGCAGCAGATGATGAGGTTCCTAGCAAAGGCGGCGCGAAATCCCGATTTCGTATGTCAGTTGATCCAAATGAAGGCGAGAAATAAAGAAATCGAGGAGGATATCGGTAAAAAAAGGCAAAGGCCGATCGAATACGGAGAGTCGAGCTCGAGCCGAAGCGGAAACTATCCTAGTAAAATCAAAATCGAGCCATTGCACGGTTTTCAAGTTTCAGAGCTCGAGGCGCTTGCGTTGGAAATGCAGGGATTGGGGAGGGCGAAACGGGAAAACGAGGAAAAATCGGAAGGGCTCGAGGAATTAGGGAATTGTTGTGATAAAGAGCTTGATGAGGGTTTTTGGGAGGAGTTGCTAAGTGAGGGTTTTGGTGAAGGGGGTGATGATGGTGATAATGATGGTGATGAAGAGGATGTTAAGGTGTTGGCTGATAGGTTTGGGTATTTGGGGTCAAGTCCTAATAAGTGAGAAAATTTGGTTTTGGACTTTATTGTGACTTTTAAAAAAAAAAAAATTGGATTCTTATTGGTTGTTTAGAATATAGGTAACATTAGTTTGAGCTTTGGTAACAACTCAAGTTGGATTAGAGTAGCTTTCCTTTCTTGGCTAATAAAGAGTAGATTTCCACTTACCTACAAAAATAATGTTAGCATGCAGAAAATAATAATAAGAAAAGTAAAATTAAGGAAATGAAAATTTGAAAATGAATCACATTGATCCTTTTCCTCCAATAGAGGTAGGGAGGGACTCTCGGATTCTAAGCGCTTGCCTTTGCCGAGAGATATTCTCTACCTTTGGTTTGGCTTTATGGAGCTGTGGCTCTCCTGACTTTTAGAGCGGGTGCTCTTGTATTGTTTAGGCTTCGGCCTCATTCGTTTTATTTATATAAATTCTATCGTTTCGAAAAAAAAAGATCCTTTTTCCTCCAATATATGCTGTAATGTGTTGTACATATGATATTTCTATGCTTCAGTTTCTCTTTGTCCTATACACTAACACTATTCATGAGTTAATCAATTTCTCAATAAATATCACTCATTTTTGCAACATCTATCTATATGAAAGTGTAAGTATTAAAAAGATGAAAAGGTTGCCCCAATAATAAAGAAAAAAAAAAAGTGTGCATCATCATGATTAAGCTTTAGATCATCATCCTTGCAAATTCCTCAAAGCTAACAAGACCATCTCCATCAAAATCAGCTTCTTTAATCATTTGTTCAGCTTCTTCTTCACTT